TTTTGCTTTAACTTGAATGCATCTTATGATTTCTTGTTGTATGTACAATTATCTTTATAGTAATTGTTTTTTTCAGCCCTATAGTTTGAAACACATTAGATATGTATGAAGAATTTTTCCATGCATAGATTTCTGTTATATGTTCTTTTTTTTTTTTTTTTTTTTACCTTAATGTCAAGTTCTGTGTGAATTATAAATTCTTCCATGTGACTTGGCAGTCTTGAGGAGTGATTGGGGAGTATTTAGTTTGAAACATATGCATATATATACACTGGTGTGCAAAAATTAAGGACGAAGTCAAAAATTAAGCATCATTGAATGAAGAGGCAGAGCGGACAGAAGACCAATCAGGAGATTAAGTAAGGTGATGTACGGTAGCACATGCGCAGATATGCAGGTAGACGTAATGGGGGGAGTGTCGAGTATATAAAGCATGTTGTCGTTGTAAGATCATAGTATTTCTGGCAAAGAGATTGCACGCCGTATAGCAGTTAAAATGACACGAGTTGCTGCCTAAGCGAGAAATCGAAGAAATCAATCGTTAGACGACTCTGGTTGCTTTCCCGAGGTCGAATCATTGGGAAGTTGGAGGAAGGCCGCAGTGTGACAAGTGTGGCTGCAGAGTTCGGAATGCTCACAGCATCGTTTCACGACTTTGGAGACAATTTCAAACTACAGAAACAGCTATCTGGGGGTTTAGTAGTGGTCGTCCACGAGGAAACACACCCGCAATGACCGGTATATTGCCTTACAGGCCGGAAGAAACAGGCGGCAGACAGCGGGAGAAATCGCTAGAAAACACGACACAGGCGACTGGATGACCGATATCACGTTTTTATTGGCCAGAAGACTGCACGTTGGTGGTCTGTTTGCACGACGCCCTGTACGGTGGTACCTCTAACGCCTGCCCATTGGAGAAGGCGTTCTCTGTGTGCCGGGAAACACCGGAAATGGAGAACATGAATGGGGACGAGTAATCTTTACAGATGAGAGCAGATTCAGTCTGAGTAGCGATTCTTATCGCATACTCATCTGAGAGAGCGGGGAGCGCAATCATCCCCGAACATCATTGAAAAAGACACGTGGGGTGGCAGTGTTCTCGTTTGGGAGGCATCATGCTTGTAATTGTACAGACCTTCACATCTTCGACGCAGGTTCAGTCAACGGGACCCGTTATTGTAACGAGATTCTTCTTCCATATGTGCATCTTTTTAGAGGCGCTATGGGTCCGCAGTTCCTTTTCATGGACGACAATACACCATGTCATTGCACAGTACCTGCCGAACAGCTCTTAGAGAGTGAGGATATTGAACGTATGGATTGGCCTGCACGATCTCCGGATCTCAATCCCATCGAGCATGTATGGGATTTTCTAGGCAGACGCTTGACAGCTCGTACCTTACCACCAGTAACGATTCCGGAGCGTCGATTGGCGCTGCAAGACGAATGGGCAGCAATGCCTCAACAACTCATTGACACCCTCATTCTCAGCATGGGCAGACGCTGTGGAACCTGCCTAGCAGTCGGGGAGATCATATCCCCTATTAACTTTCTGAAGCCGGCTGGTACAGCAGTTGTACCAGGAGAATGACTTTCTCAGACGCCGGCATTGGTACAACTGTCGTACCATCCATGCCCTCCCCATTTTAGAGAATCGCCTATCTGTAGATCTCTGGGTGGTCCATTGTCGCTGCTCAGAGTAGCCGCTGGCTACGCATTATTTTCCTCTTCTTATCAGTTTGGCTACATTTAGGCAAAAACCGCAGGTTTCGTTCTCGCCAATATACTTGAAAAAACCATAGAAGAGCCATCTCTTTCTCATCTGTCTCATAATTTTAATGGTAATTTTTTTAGTACTGTTGCTGTGATTACGTCAGCGATTTGCACGCTCTTTTTACCATATTTAGTGTTTTAACATCATAACAAATAAGAATAGATTAATATTTTAGATTTAATGCTCTTCTAGAAAATAGGTAAACCGCTTTTTCATTTACTTCCTTTCATACTATGAATAATATTTTATTTTGACTTATGGAGTGCATAAAACCCTTAAGAACTGTCAACTCTTTCAAAGTGCTTCTATTATGCAGGCAATTATTGTCTGATTTTTTCAGGAGATAAATAAGAGACAATTGTATGCATAATAGTTGTTTCTGATTTTCATTCATTCAGTGATTGCTTTCAATGATTTTCATTGATTGTAAATTAAATAAAATCAATTTATCTTTAGACCCTCTTTTAAGGATGAGATCTGCCAAAAAGTATTTAAATATCAGTAAAGCTCACGTTACTTCTAAACTGAATCAAAACATCAGTTAAATTGTATAAAATTTTGGCCAGTTTTATTTGCTCTGAAATTCTTATACTCCTCAAGAGATAGAGGCAATTCAGACAAGTTAATAAAAAAATATCTTAAAAAAAGTTGTTATTTTTGTCTGTAATAAGAGGTATGTCAACTTACTATAAATGTATGAAAATTAGGAATTTGATTACGGAAAAAGCACGCGAACGCTATCTGCTTAAGGGGATGGATGCTTTCGTGTAAACCTTTTTTTTTAAGAGAAAATTGCTCGCATTTACGTTCCTGGTGGAAAACTCCACATGTAATCAAACCCGTTCTTCAGGTTGATTGGATAATTTTGTTCGCTTACTGAATTACATCAAAGCACACATCAATTACCTGTATAAGGGGAGTTATGTCCTTCGCGGAGGACTTTCTAGAGAAGGCTGGCTTGCATTTACGTTACACAAAAACCGTGACTCCAACTATTTAGCCGGGATTCAAACCCAAGCGAGCTACAAGTGTTCAGCCATCTTTACGCTTACTGAAGAGCCTGTAAAAATATTGATAAAGGAAAAGTATTGAAATTAACCGGTTTAATTTACTAACCTATATTTCTCAATCGACAGTACATAAAATTAGATTATGTGAATAATAAACTGTATTGCACTTTTCTCCACTATTTCATATTACGATGGAATTATTGCATTTCAAAGTTAAAAGTTATTTTCTCATGAATTAATTTTGCTCGTTCATGATTTTTGATATTTTCAAAGAGAAAATTCCACACTTTAAATAAAAAATACACGAGAAGATACTTATGCAAAATTTGGCGTAAACGTTTTTTCTTAATTTTTGCTTTGAAAATATTGCAGGGTATCGTTTTCATTACTGGAAGAAATATGAAAACAGAATTTACTACATGGTATCAACACCCCGTTGTCCTTATTCTTTTTGAAAACGTGAAAGATTACTCTTTCTAAAATAAATTAGAAAATATATTATGTGCAAATAGAATATTCGTTGAAAATGAAATAGACTTCACTTTGGATATAACGATGGTTTTTAGACGAAATTTCTACCTATGGAAAAGAAATTGACGTATAATTAATTCTTCTTCATGAACATTTAAAACGTTCTCAAAATTCTTTTGATGATTCATGTATAGTCACGGAATTTTTTTCTCGGCTAACATAAACAAAAGCCAATTTTACAAAGAAAAATTCTCGTTAAAGATATACCTTCTTTGCCTGATAGTCCAATGTAATATTTGTTAAAGTTTAATTATTAAAACGCACCAATGTATCTCGGATTTTTATATTATAATAACAAAATTATCGAAAAAAAAAAAAAAAAAAAAAAAAAAAAAAAAAAACAAAAAAAAAAAAAAAAAAAAAAAAAAAAAAAAAAAAAAAAAAAAAAAAAAAAAAAAAAAAAAAGCAGATTTAAATCTCTGTTATTGTTATGTAAAGCTTTATTATTGCTGTAATTCATCTCAAATCTAATTGTATTGAATCTCATTCTAATCATCTATTGGTAATAAATATTATTATTATTATTTCATTAAATTAGTCATTACCATTATTTTATTAATGAAAAATGTTACTAAAAATCGCATTTCCGGCCTGCAGAACTTACAGATCTAGTCTCGTATTTACTATATTTTGTTAAATTTTGTTCTCGCTTTCTAATTTCTAATACGAAAATACACGAATATAAATGAAGAGTGAAAACAAAGTTAAAAAATTCACAAATTATTTACGAGATTGATTAGAAATAGTGAGTGAAATGTAAACATTGTGTACATTTTGTTCTAAATAAATTGTGCACTGGATATGCATCCAGTACTGCATATTTATTTATGCACTATTTATTTAGAACTTCATTTAAATGAAAGCGAAATAATTATCGAAAAAATTGCAAATCTAGCAACTCCTGTACTATGGGACGTAGGCGTCCTGACAACATGTAAATTTTACTTCATCCATGGAGGGGGACTAACGACTTTTCTCATTAGGAAAATGTCAAAGAGGGGGCAAAACTGTTTTGGATCGCGCCAGTCTGAAGGCTATATTATGAGAATTTCGGCCCGGTTTTAGAAGGTTAAAGACCGGATGTTTCTTGCTAGACACCCATCACAGGGATGATGCCTCCATGGCTATTTTTTCATAAACCTCTTTTTCTCCCTCTGATTTCTCTTTTATTTGTTGCTTACATTACTCATTCCCTTACGTATTGGGGATCTTACGGTATTAAACGTGTTGATTTGGAAAGCTTTGTACAAAGTTATATTATAAAAAACCGTCTCGTCTTAATTTTTGCACACCAGTGTATATATATAATTACAAAACAATTCTTTTGAAAACAAAATATAACCATGCTTAGTATATTCGCGCATTAAGCTTCAGAAAAATTATCATTAAAGACATAAAGTAAGAAATTTAAACTAATATTTCACAAAGACCAAAAATTGATAATTCATAATTAATGAATTTCAAAAACATTTTTAAATTCTTTGTTGCAATTATTTGAAATTTATTAATTATGAATTTCAATTTTTGGTCTTTGTGAAATATTAGTTCTACATATCTTACTTTATGTTTTTAATTATATCTATGTACATATATATAATTTCCATGCATAGCTTTCTGTTATATGCTGAATATTTTACCCTAATATCAAGTTCTATATGAATTATAAATTCTTCCATGCGACTTAGCAGTCTCGAGGAGTGATGGAGGAGCGTTTAGATGATGCAATTAATATCTTGAGGAATCATGCAGAAGGACCAGGGATTCAGCCAGTGCCTCCTACAACCAGTTTAAATGATATTTCCCCGGTTACTGCACATTCCAATGGACTTATTGCTGCACAGTCCTATCCTGGAGTAGCAATTATTTCTCTGGATCCTCATGTGGTAAGAACATTTTAAACAAATTATTAAAAAAAATTACTTTCATCGTGTTTTCTTAATGTTGCTGTTCTAACAAAAAAATTCTTTCTAGGCTGGTCCAACTAACCTTCCAGATAATGTTCTGAGAAGTAGAGGGTCTCAGTCAGGCACAACAGGACCCATAACTGTTTCTCAACCTTTTGGTGAGTTTTTGCTTGTCAAATAGACTATTTCACAATTTTTGCTTTATGTCTCTAATGAAAGTTTCATTGGTAGACTTATGTATAAGTGAACTTTTAACAAGTTCAGTGTTGCTGATTTTCTCTGGTTGAAGAAAACAGTCTCCTATTGTTAGAGCTTAGTTTTTGCATGATTAGGAACAAAAAATATTTCATAAGATGATTCTTTCTTTAAAAGTTATGGTCTTTATGCCTATTTCAAACTAATTTTCATGTTTGATAGGGTAGTTGAAAATTAATTTTTAAAAGCACTATAGCTTGTGTTTGATTTTACTAAAAATTTTACTTAGTAAGCAATCATACTGTATTCTTGTCAGCATTAGGAGTCAAATCCATATGTACTATTTGGTGAGTATGTTTTGTAGTGGAACTCCCGCTGTTGCTCCTCCCAAAAGAAAGCTTGATTCCAAAACATGCCGAGTAACAATAAACTATTTCTTAATGAAATACAGCATGTAAAAACATGCTCAATACAGTCTTTAATGATAATTGCATACTTGCATGCCCATTTCAAATACATTTATTTAAATAGAATGGGTAAAAATGACCATATGGAACTTTATATATGCTCAGTTACAGAGTTACAGAATATATATGCTGTTAGGTTTTTCATGTTTCGTAGCTGGCATATCAATTCAATAGCTATAAATTTGTTGGCAGTAAATTGCAGCTGAAAGTCAGTTTACTTCCATGATGCCCCAGAGCATTAAAATGGTGATGCTATTAGTTCTTGAAATATAGTAGTGTAATATTAATGCTGGAAAAATTAAAACCATCTTTGAAATGGTTTATAATAGGAGGACTGCATAGGATAACTGCATTTCTTCATTTCTCACTTGCCTTTGGTGAATTAGACTGCAATATCACATTCCCAGGTGTTCACTAGTGTCCTTCCATATGAGAACAAAACTATTATTTCTTTCAGTTGAGTTTGAGCAGACAAGAGAAAATTGGTTTAAACTAGTGTTTCTCTAACTTCTTTGGTTTACTGTCCAATTTCAGAAAAAAACTGATTGCTTAATGTCCTCTGGGAACACACATCTATGAATCTATTATTACTTAGAGAATAAAGCAGCTATGGAGAGGTTGATTTAAATATATAATAATGAAATTGTATAATAAACTAAAAGTGAATAGTGACCACTCGGTAAAGTGTAAAATATATATTTTTCAAATTTAATTAGAAAACTAAGTGATTTAAAAGAAGTGTGTCACCTCGCAGCAGAGCGGGAGATATTCATTTCTTTCAAATTCAATCAACAAACTCTGTGACTGAAAAGAAATGTGTTGCCATTGCCTGAAATAAAATGTTTTTTATCTTGCCAGTGTGCTGGCATTTGACATTGTTCATGGTGGCTGCCATGAAAGTGGCATTTATGTTAACAACATTTTAAAATCTCCACAATTAGTTACCTGCAATCAATTTCTTTTTCCCTTCATTTTTAAGCTATTAGAGTTGTTATTAAACTGAACCAGTGTTCCATTTAAATAAGGGAAAGGAAATGGTATGAGAAATGTTTGGGCATTGGTAAACTAGGATGAAGTTTAAGTAATTGCTTCTGTGCCAGAAATTGTTGGTACCAAGACCTAAATTTAAATTTCAGCTCTTTATTTGCTCAGCAAATTCTGAGGTTCAAAATGCTACTGAAATTTTGCAGGAAATAGATCCAAAAGGCAGTTGAATGCATGCATTTCTAAAATACCTTGAAATTGTTTCTTGAAGTTCAGTTTCAGAGCTTTCAAATCTTGACAGTATTCAAAAACATCAGTAGCTCAGTTCCGTCCATCCCAAGTTTCTTTTACAATGGTGGGATGAAAAGTTTCTGGCCTCACTTACAGATGGTGCTGGTGGAGTTACTTTGACAAAGGCACTTCAGAGTGCTGTCTTTGTTTAATAATTCTTGCATATTTCAAAGGATTTGTGTTTGGTTGTTTTTATCCTGTGTTGTTTTAAAATTTTCTTTTGTTTTTAACCAAGTATGGAGAAAACTGAAGTGTGACCTGTGATATATTATTATTTTATTAAAGGCTTATCTCAAATGAATATTTAAACTGAGCTATACACTACACTGGGAGAATCTGTTCCTTCGTTTACGACTGTTAAAACATGGGTTGCAGATTTTAAAACTTGTTTGTACAAGCACTTTGGGTGGAGAGTATTCTGGAAGACCACTACAGATGAAATTGTTAGAAAAGTTCATAAAAACATTATGAATGATTGCGAACTGAAACTGACAGAGGTTGCTGAATCTGTTGGTGTATCCAAAGAACAAGCACATCATATTTTAACTGATATTTTGGGTATGAGAAAGTTGTCAGCAAGTTGAGTGCCACGATTGCTAGCCTTGGATAAAAAACTGCAGCGCATGACAATATCAGAACAATGTTTGGCAATATCCAGCTCAAACCTAACTGATTTTTTTGCTCCATTTCATTACTGTGGATGAGACATGGATCCATCACTATACTCCAGAGACCAAGCAGCAATCAAAACAGTAGACAGTGAAGGACAAATCAGCACCAAAAAGAAAAAAGTGCTGAAAAGGTAATGGCAAAATTTTTTTGGGATGCTAAGGGAATTTTACTATTGGATTATCTAGAAGGCAGGACTGTCAATGCTGAATATTGTGCTAATCTTTTGGATAAATTGCATTCCAAAATCTAAAAAGACTAGGTCTGGCCAAGAAGGTCCTGTTTCACCAGAACAGTACTCCCATCTACAAGGCTCTCATTGTAACGGCAAAACTTCATGAACTGAAGTTTGATTCTTTATGCACCCTATTCTCCTGGTATTATCCCTTAGAACTGCTAGTAAAGTACACTCAAGTAAGGTAAGATGCACATTGAACACAAATCAACAATCAAAGAACTGCTGACTAAATTTTGCTGTCTTTTTTAACCCTTTGAGAGGTGTTATATAAAATAATTTAAATTGTAGTCAAATTTTGCGTGAATTGTAGCTTATGGACCCTAAGAGCACAAAATTAAGACTTAAAAAAAATCTAGAGTGAAATCCTGAGTTTTGAGAGCTGGTATATATATTTCATACCATTCCCCTCTAAGACTTTCTCCAGGCAGCTGCCAATTGTTAATTTTTGTTTTTAAAATTAATTTTGCTGACTTTTGATGTGTGTTTATAGAGATGGGTGCTTGAATATAGTTATGTAAATCTGAAGACCAAAACTTTTAAAATTTAGCTAGAAATTTAAAATTTTAAATAAAATTTATGTTTTTATGTACTTTGATGCAACGCAGCTGAACATACCTATGTAAAATATGGGTAAAAGCTTTTGAAATTGATTTAAATTCAATATTATTATTTTATGGAAAAGCTTAACAAATATAACACTGCCTGTGTAAACCGTATCATGCTGTAACTGAACTAGTATAATGTTACAAGGAGATGTAACTCAGCCGAAAAATAAAAAATGAAACACTGTGACTCAGCTGAAAAAATATGTTGCATTTTTGAAGTTTTATATTTCATGCTTTAAATAATGTATAAAAAAGAGCATGCTTCATGTTGTGATACCAGGAATCTCCCCCCCAAACTTTCGATTATCGAGGACCATAAGGGCCCCTTTATTTATTTATTTATTTTTGAAATATATGATGTAGTATATCATTTTGTTCAGGAAGAAATGTTGTTAAGCGATTTTATTATTTGATATACCTCAAAGCTCTTATTTCAATTTTCAGCCCCTTTGTCCTCCTAGTGGCCCCTTTTCAACTTCTGGATAAATTTTGGTTTGCGTATCTAAAACTGGCCTTGGAAATATGTTCTGTCCTTTCGCCAACTGTGAAAATTTATTTCGAAAACCACCTATTTGTATCCTAACCTAGGGGGAAAAGTTCTCTCGTGTTCCCTAGTCTGTCATCTGATATTAACAAATACTATATCTTAAAGAATAAAAGCATGCTTTCAAATCAGCAGTTTTTCCATTCCACTAAGAGATGGGCCTAAAGTGAATTTCTGTTTCCCATATTTTTAAGTAAGCTTCCCTTTGTGTGATCTTATCCCAAAGGGAAGAAGGCGTGACCCCGGAATGACAAATTAGTTGTCAATCACCTCTTTTCATTTTCGCTGCATTATAGGATTTTGGAAAACATGAAGCAACAGGTGTCTTTTGGGGCTAACATGCCACATTTAACTCCTACAATTGTGTACGGTTTTGACACCAGACGACAATTTTGAAACTGATGAATCCTTCTCTTGGGAAAGTGTGAAGTGTTGAAATTAAAATTTTTGTTAAACAGAGACAAATGAGAAACTCGTGAAGTCAACAAAGAATAAAACAAAAGTAATATACTTGTATTCAGTCAGCACAGGGTCAGTAAACTCCCCATCCCTCCCATGAACATAATATTAAATCCTAAACCTTTGTAAATTAATCATAAAAAAGTATTACATCATAAACTATTATAATATAAAGAAATTCTGTCATCTCACAGAATAGAAAAGAAGACTGGTGCTGCCATCTATTGGCGTGGTAGCCTCAATAGGGGCATTGGTATAATACTATGTACTAATACTATATACCGGTTTTAAAATCTTATAAATAATCTTCTGTTAATTTTCACTTCTGACTGAAATGCAGTAAATATATATGATTCAGCATGTATGTGTTATATATATTTGCAGATTTTGAATTTTTTCGTCCCATCCAATAGAATTTACGAATCTTCAAACATGATACTTTTGAACGAGGTATAGTAATTTCATAACTGCAAAATATTGAGCATTTATAGAGTAATGTTGCCATTTAGAATCAAAAGGAAATGCTAGAAATTTACGATTACAGCTTTTGGTGTAGAAAAATAATCATTTTCTAGGAAATTAAAAAATTGAGAAACATCCGGTATATGGCCCTTTAGAGGGTTAAAAGGAATGGGAGTTTGCATAATCTGCCTAGATTGCACAAATTCTTAAATGCATAATGGACAGCACTGCTGAAACCTCTCTTATCAGTGGCTTTCTCTACTTCCTTTCCAGAATTAATTTCCCTATTCCTTCCTCAGTCTGTATATGAAATTTGGTTCCATTCTGTTCATTACTTTTAGCTGCAGATGTGTGCATGCAGGGAAGGTTATTTCATAACCAAGCTGTGTTTTGAAGTTTTATGTCTTCGTTTGTCACACCTTAATGCCATGACCATCAATTATGTTGCACCCGGTATATTTTATATGTAGTAATGTTGTGATAAGTGAAATAAAATGTGCTGTATAAAGCATAATGGTAAATTCTGTAAAATATGCTTCATGTAATTTCAGTTACATTTCTGCATATGTTGTTGAATCAAATATTGTTAGATAATTTCACCAGAATTGACAAAAGATTCCTAGGTTCACATTTTCATAATTTTTTGTTTTATTAATTATTTTATTTAAGAAATATTGAATTTTAATGCCTTAAAATTTTCATTGCAGTTACTGGCTTACCTCCAGATTCTATACCCACTTTAAAAGATAAAGTAAAAGAAGTAGAAAAAAATGATCTAAGTAGGGGGAAATCAGCTACTCCAAATGCTAATTCAACACCAACAGTCAGTACACCTACTGGTAATAGTGTGTCTGGTACACCACCTGTTTCATCTCCAACCTCCACATCATCCACAAACACAGCTACAAATATAGGGCCACCTTCTAAAGGAACTAAACGTTCACGAACCCGGTTGTAAGTATTTAAAAATATATAGTTATATATGTGTGTTTGTGTGTCTGCATGTATGTATGTGAATATATATGTATGTAAAATAATACTTCAGAAAATTTTTATAGACTTATATATATCTATATTGTGTAGCATATTAAGGCCATCTGTGTAGATAAATATGTGCAGTTTTGGTGGTTTTCAAATTTTTTGTTAGAATTTATATTAAAAATAAATGCCATGGGGAAACATTGTTGAAAACATAAATAATGCTTTCATCTTTATGTATACAATAAATCCATTTGAAGCTATATGAAATTATTTGAATAAAAATATATTTCTCTCCCTTTAAGTAAATAATATCAGAACATTTTCCAAGCCAATTTCTTATGAAATTCAGACTTTATGTAAAAAGATTAAGATTGAACTCTGTAAACTGAGGTCATAATTTTAATTTTGTGGCTGATATTTTGTGCGGGCATATGCTCCAGTTTCATTCTCATAAATTTCTTAATATAGAAAAGCAAGCTAAGTCTTGACATTTTCCCAATTATATTATTAAGTACTTTTAAAACCTTGTTAAGTTTTGTTGTCAAAATTATTAGTTGGTTAAGATAGTTTGTTTTCAGTAGTGAAGGTTAAAATTTAACTGCATATACCAAGTTTTGTAAATCTTAAAAATTTGTAAGAGATAATTTTAAATCACCCTATTCCATTTTATGGGATTATTTAAAAGCTTTAGTTAGATGTACATCATGCATTTTCTGTAATTTAAGTTGAAAATCAAAAATTAATGTATAACGTTGAATAACAAGTAAGCTGCATCATATCATGAAAGAATAATGAATATGAAAGTACTACATGATGAAATTTAATGCACGATCCTGTATGCATTTTGTGTTTAAAAAATTTTTTATCTTGCAGTTAATAACATATATAAAATGGGGTGAAATAGGAATATATTTGTGAAATCAGTGCTTAAGTAGAGCTGTCCTAAAAATAATTCTGTAGAAGGAAGTTCCCTCTCCCCCCTTCCAAAAAAAAAACTAACTTCATCATCAGTCCTTTTTTTAATCTTAGAAATATAGCACAGTATAATTTTAGTCCATATGAAGAGAGTGAACCTATTTTCATAATTCAGATTTTGAAAACTTTAACTCCAGATGTGCATATGAAAATGTTTGGCTGTCCCTGTAACTTATGTTAAAGAAAATACTATTTGAAAACCACTGTAATATATTCATGGAACTTTGTAAAATTATATGTAAAAAAATTATCATTTAATTTGTATGTTATTTTCTCAAAAATTATTCCTTTGTTATAGGGATTGGTGTTTCAGGTATGAAATATTTGATATTATTTTATTTTAAAAGCACATTTTTATGTATGGGTAACATTTTCCTGGGTGTGTTGAAGTCTTATTTGGTATTTTGGATTTATTATTATGTTTTGTTAAAATTTCAGCAATTACTTATAAGAATTTATTATTTTGAAACATTTTTTCTCTGCATGATGAAAATTCTGATTTGTAATCTTGTTTTTTATGTCTTTATTGGTAAAAAAAACTCTGTATTTCTTAAAGGATTCAATTATATCAGCTTCGTTAGAATAGTATAGTTTCTTACCCCAAGATAAAAACAACAAAATGTAACAACAGTCAGTGTATTGCTTGATTTTTTTAAAAGACGTTTTATTAATGTTAACTGTAATGATAATCCTGGGTTATGTTTAGAAATTAATTTTTGTTAATGATATAACAATTTAAGGTATTTTTAGTGATTTGTAAATTTGATTTGACCTGCTACTTTGTCTCATTTTCGTTTGCTGTTTTATAATATCTTAAAAGAAATTTCTATTACATTGGTATTTGTATAATTTGAAATTTTAATTAAATATCATAATTCATTTTGCTGAGTTTTGTGTTAAATGTTTCCTGGTTCTTCTTCATGCATATATGCACATGGCTGTCATTTTCCTCATGTCTGAATTTGTTGAAGAACCAGCAGTACAGATGATGTATCTTCATCTGATTAGCATAAAAATTGTCTAAAATATTTATTTTTCACTGTTCAGATCTTGTTTGACAAAGGATTCCACTTTTTTTATAATATAATGAATGATCTATTTGAATGACTTAAAATTTCATAAAATCAAACTAAAATGCCCCCCAATTTAAATAAATAATTAAATAATAAAAATAAAATAAAATAATTTTTTAAAAAAAAATATAAGCTACTTAAAATGTAAAACATTGCTATTTATTCAAAAGGAAATTAAATTTCAGGATTTATTGAAGTAACTTTGGAAATAATGAAAAAATTTTAGAAAAAAATTATAGTGTTTGAAATTCAATGCTATCACACCGCTGTCTAGAGTTCATGCATCCCTCTGCACTCAATTAGATAGGATACAAATATAAGAGAGTGAATATTGAAATAGCTCAGAAAGTGAGTAACAGGATGGAATTTTATCTACATGTTTAAAGTTTATTTTATGTTCTCGTTTAAAGTTTGTTTTGTGATGCAAATTAAAAGTTAATTGCATCAACCACATTTCTGTATTAATAAGCATTTTAAGCCTGGTAAATAACAAGCAGCACCACAGAGGGAAAAAATGGGAGACTTGTTCCTTCTGCCACAGCTAATACAGTGCTGCTGAGCTTTGATAGCTTAAGGGGGTGTTTCACTTTAATTTACATGCTTCTTTGACAGTAATTTAATGGCACTTTTGCACACGACAGTGTCTTGCAAATAGAAAGGCAGTGATACTTCCACGCAGAAAAATATTCGTTGCTGGATAATTAATAGCAGTTTGCATACTTAGGTGTCACTTCCACAAATAGTGTTATCTGTCAGTTTTCATTCTGTTAGTTATCTTTTGAAACTTTGATTATTAATGAAGCAATGTTGGTATGCAGAGTAAGGGAATCAAGATTGTGATTGATGGCAGTCAGGTGAATAGTTGAATGTGGAATGCATAGTTATGTATTATATTCTCAGAAAACTATTAATTAGAATAAAATTGCTAAAAGAGATCTAGCAAGTGCTCATCCAAAATTTATTTACTAGAAAATTTGAATTTGATAATGAATATATACGGAAACATGTTTCAAGTCAAAATTTCAGAACTTGGCGTCTAAATGTAAATACAAAATTACGCATGATGAAATATTTGCTTTTTGTTACATAAGGTTAGGTTTTTTTAAATATTGCAAAGCATGTGTTGCTATCTTGTCTGTGGGGAGAATCCTTTGTGAAGCACTTTCAAGAGGGTGCCAATTTGTCACTTTTCTAAGACAAATTGGCTCATATTTACATTATTCATGGGGGAAAGCAACCATGCAGCCAGCTCATTCACCAGGGATCAAACCAGGATAGAACTCCTAGCCTTCAGTGGTCTTAGCCATTTGTCCTCTGGTGGGACCCATGTTATATATATATTGTTTTATAGAACAGAACCTACTTTCTGAGTGTGTATTAACGCATGTAATTTTTGTTCAATTTTTACATATTTTGCATGTAAAGTTTTCGATGTGTGCTAAATTGTTGTAAATTACTTTACTAAAAATATGAATGCACAGAAAATAAGGATTTGTACATACCGAAAAAAATATATTAAATAATATGAATATTTATACACATCCTTTTAAAAAACATATTTTCTTCGGAGTAAATATGTAAATACTGAATTATTTATAAATGTATTTGGAAATGAAGAATTTATTCATTTACAACAAACTCCTGTGAACGGTATTGTGCAGAAATCTAATTTTTAAATATATCATTTGACTGTTGAAAAGTGCAGTATACGAAATATAAGGAAGTAGTAAAGTACAATTTTTAGACTGTGTATTGTTAAATAGAAGGGTCAGAACAAATTTTTGATGAGTATTAAAAGATTTACTTATTTTTTATAGTAATTTAATTGCTATCCTTAAAGGATAAAAATTAAATTTCCCCTCCCAAAATCATCATAGAAAGTAAAGTATGTGAAAATCAGAAATCAACTGCGATATTTACTGTATTTAACTATTAAAACAAAAAAGATCTAATTTGAAATAAACAAAACAGAGCATTAATTATAGATTGACTATGATTTAAAAGGTATCATAGAACGTTTAAAATGGACTTATTTTTAGAATAGGAAGGGAAAAAGTTTTTTTAATATTAACAAAACAGTGAACTTTGATTGAAATTTTTGTAATCGGTAGCCAAATAAAATCAAATCTGCAAATTTCTTTCTGATGTAATTATCAAAATCTCATGAAAGCATTTCATTCAAATTAAAAGTGTTCTGAACACAGGAAAATGACACTTAGTTCAGTTCAGAATAAAATACTGTTTAAAAATCAATTCTTTCACACAACTAAGACTCTGAAGCGTTGTAGGAAAAGAAAAAAATAAACATTTGTAGTTATATTTAGGATGTAATTATAAAATGTTTACCTCAGAACATTTCAAAATATATGCATTTTAAGGGTGAATGACTGCTGAATGTTTTGATCAAGATTGGGGATGTACCCCGCAACAAGAGAAAGAATGGTTAGAAACTGGTTGGTGCCTTTCTTTTCCTTCTTTCATCCATGAGCACCACACTCTTATTTATTTGTATAATTAATAAAACTGTTTATTACTAATGTTTCTGAATTCCTATATTCATTTTGTTTTCTTTGCTGTATGACATGATTTAGATCTTACATCTTGTTGGAATTCTTATTTATTTTGGGATAATATTGAAAATTGTGAAACCTGTTGCCCTTTTATGCTGTAAATACCCCTCAAAATTAGTTTATTTTTAGAGAAAAGATTCCATATTCCTTTGATTTTTTTCCTGATATTTGTTATTAACTGAGAATGTTCTAAATAAGTTGAACTCAAAGCATGCAAAATTTATCTGGTCCACTATGAACATATTTAAAGCATTTTTCTGCAAGACTACAGCATGTACGTAATGTTTGATGTTTAAATGTAAAAAAAATAAAGTGCTCCCATGATTTTTGCGTAGGACTACAGCATGTACATAATGCTTGATGTTTAAACATAAAATAAAGTGCTCCCATTCACCTGGAAAATCATGGGCCTCTAGAACTTCAAAGACATTAAAATAATAATAATAAAAAAAAGGACAGCTCAACCCCCTTCTCTAAAGACGCTCATGCTTAAATCATAAACAAAAATCCCCCGTAGAGAAACCAAATGAATGTAAGATCTTTTTTCTTACAGGAAATATTTTACTCTCACGTCTAATCAAGGCTTATCAGAACATAGCTCTCATATCCACTCTTCTGTGGAGAAATATGACGGTACTCTTTTAGAACTAGAATTGCTGTTAGAGAATATTGTAATCTAGAAGTCTATACATGGTGCAGTTGTACAATATACATTAATTGAACTCAGTTTCAATCTAATGTAGTGTTTTGCTCCTCAGTTAATTACACGAAATTCTATAACTAATTTATTATGTTTACTCGGAGATATTATTCCATTTCATCATCGAAAGTTGGGGAAATTGTGCATATTCAGACACATTCACATACATGTATAATCATCATGTCAAATTTTTTTCCTTTTTAGAAAATTGCATGGCTTCTGTGCTAGTGTAAGGTTACTGTTATTTTGTATCCTATTGATAAAACTTGTCATTCTATCTTTAACCTTTAAACCAACCAATATTATCAAGATGCATCAGCATCCAAATTTTCTTTCAAATTGCTCCTCCATCCTGTTAAATGAACTAAAGTTCTGAGACTGTCAAATGGCATTATATTGAATATTTCAGGAAAAAAAAAAAAAAAAAGGCCATCTCTTTCCTTTGAAATGTTAAGAAGAAGAAAAAAAAATTTTTTGCCCTTAGTTTAGGATCCTTGATCCAGGATAATAACATTAAGACTTTTTTTTAAAGGACTCGCTTGACAAGGATAGACAAAGGGCTACCATTCTTGTCACTTTTTTGACAATAGAAAAAGATATTTTCCTTACATGATGATTTAACTGCAGTGGCTGCAGTACTTTGTGTGAAAAACTGTATTAAGTATTTTCACAGTGAGATACTGAAGATCCTTTTCCAAATTTTAATTATTTGGAAACTTGCAGCATTCCTTGTTGGTTCGATTTAGAATATTTTAAGTCAACTTAAAAGAAATGTTAAAATTTTGCATTAAAGACAATGGTCATAGGAAAAAAAAAAAAAAAAAAAAAGGAAATAAACAAATTTTCCTTAACTACATTGGTTCTTGAATTATATCAGTGCAGCCAAAAGTATCCATAAACAAGTTTCAGTTGCTGATTTAAACTATTGAAATCACTCTTATGTTCACCTAAATCTATGAAATTAAGGTTA